TGAATCCGTCATCAAAGTTTGAGCAATCTCAAAGATGGTCGGGGGACTCATAGCCCGAGGTGAATTGTTGAATGCGGCGTCGTCCGACTCGTCTTCTTCGTTGTTTGACGGTTCGGGATGTGAGGCACCCTCATTCTTCTTTCGCACTGTTGAGGTCCGTTGTTCAGCACGCCGGTGAGCACGCTCTTAATCTCAAGTTACCACCGGCAAAGCGCCTACCTGAGTGGGAGCGTATTGCAAGGGCTGTCCCGCTAGACGTATCCTGCAATTGGTGGGGGGTGAAGCATATCACCGCCAAAGCGGCCTTGTATCGCTTCGATTCGTTAATTGAGGTCCCTGAATGGGATGAGATTGCAAAAGTGGATGTGGCCGCCGCTGTGAGGCATAACATGACGTTCATGGAGGGCTACGAGCTCTTGAAGACCATTCGTCGCCGTGTTGTCCTGGAAGGCCACCAGGGGCAGCAATCTGGTGAAGCCGCTGCAAGGAGTGACGAAAATACCCTACTCTCAGACATCGCCGTCGAGTTGAGCAAGGAGTTGTGTGAACGCGAGCCTCCCGTGGATGAGGTGTTGAGGAGGAAGCTTCCGGGTGGGAAGGTTGTGAAGAAAGGTCAAGAGAAGACCTTCCAACAGTACGCTGACTACCTATCATGCTTCGAGAAAACAATCTCCAACCACGAGGAGTTCGTTACGAAGATGATGGCAGCGCATCTCAAGAATGTCGTGGAAGAATCGGTGGAAATAGGGATTAAGATGGAAGGGTTGGTATTCGATGAGAAGCAGGCCATGGAGGAGGAGAAAACTACATAAATATGTTTTAAGTTTGGGTAGTTGTACGATAGTGGGTCCGGTGGTCTACGTATTTGGTTGTGCGTTGGTCTGTTAAAGGTTTCTGCTAGCGCTTTGGGGGTATAGTTATATTTTGGTAGGGTTGAAGGTTGGTGCTTTTTTTGGTTTCTCTTATCGTATATACCTAATGGTAAAACAATAAATCCACGTCATTGCACAAAGAAGTGGGTTTTGTAGTTCCAGAAGATCTCGACGGCGGCGGCCTCCCAGCTCTGGTGCTGGCACGTTCAGCAGGTTTTCTGGAGCTCTTACCTGTGCCCCACACTTGTCACGGTTGGGACGGTCCAAGCACGGTACATATACTTTTGTAGCACAGTCAAACATCAGTAGGATTTATGAGATAGTGTTCTGCTGGGTTTGTCGGGTCGTAAATCTATCAGGTTACCCCGTATGCACAGTTTACATGGCCCGAAAACGGAATCGCACTTTAACGCTCTGGAAATCCCAAGACGTCACCAACACTGTCCCCGAAAAAGAATATCTTGGACAGAAATAAAGCAATGGAAACCGCGGCGCCCCGCGAGTCGGAACGTCATATATTCAACTTTACAGAACAGCTATAGCTTTTGCAATCCGTAGCTAAGCATGTCCCCTTTGTTCGTAAAGCGCTCAACCAGATCTAGACGCTGTTGATGAAAGAACGTGAGCCCAAGTGGGAGGAGGCAAGTTGTGAAGTGCCAATCCAATTGGGTCCGTTCAGAAGTCTTGCCCGGGAAGGTTAGCCACGTCTGAATTCGACTCCATTCTGCTCGTCTACACGATCGAATGGAACGATAATTAGAGAGAGGTTCAAGATCAACGCATGCGCAGTAGCGAACAAGTGCTTCGTCAGAACAAACTCTTCGACCAAATTTATCTGTACGTTACTCGGAAAGAGTGGCCTTGGCTGCGCGTGCCAAACGAATTGACTGCACTCGAACTGCGCAGGCGATCTAGGGAAGTTTTGCACAATTATAATGCCGAAGAGTTGTTGAGGAAGAAGTCAAAGGTCACGATTGCGAGGAAGAAGGGGCAGCTTACTATGCAGCGTTACCTCAAGACCATAGTCGATTATGATGCAGAAAGAATGTTGGCTGATACGTTTGTCGACAAGCTTTTGGAAGGTTTCATCAAGTTCCCCAAGATCGCTGAAGTGAAGAAGGAGGAGGCATTGGATGAGCTGCAGGCACTCGAACTGGAGGATAAGGCGGAAGCTCAGGAGCATCTGATTGAGTAGAGGCAATACTGGTCGGTTGTTCTGTTGTTGGATTTTCCCCGTCGAAGTATCATCTTTGGAGTACGGTTATTTATCGCATATCGGTAGGTCTGTACAATGGTGTTTGTTGTGAAGGTCACCTCATATACGTATTGGGTTAACAATAGAATCCACGTAACCGCAAGTCGTCGATTGATGTGAAACTTCAAGCTCTCGAGGGTGTCCCTAACGTGAGCAACAAAATATTGCAAGGTATACCCAAAAACTAGACGCCGTCCCCAACAAGCAGCATTCTTACTTCGCAGCCTCCATCCTCCATTACTGCTTATCCCTAACCTCCCCCCTCTGCACCTCATACACCACATCCGTCCTGATAACATACTTCCCCTCCCCCACAACCCCCTTCCCACCCCCCTCCCTCTCCCCCAACTCCCCCCCCACCGCACTCCCCTCATGCAACAAACTCCCCCTGCCCTCCCCGTGCGGAAAGACTAGTACAGACCCCATCCGTGGTTTCACACTGTGTGCGTCGAGGATTCCGTCGCGCGTGGGGGAGGGAAGGAAGAATGTCGTGTGTCCGCCCGGGAACTCGTCGTTGAGGTAGATCAAGAACGTGAGGCGCGAGTACAAAGGTTTATCGGGCGGACTCGCGTCGTAGACATATGAGTCATGCACCGGTTTAGTGGGATCGGTTCCGGAGGGCGGCCAAGCCCCATCGATGTGTGGACGGTAAATAGCGCCGGGCACGTACCGATACACCCGAAACCGGACATTAAGCCCCCACACCTTCCCACCTGCAATCTTCTCCGGTAGGAGATGGACGATTCGAGACCATAGCGTATCATGAAACGCCCGATCCGCGAACCAGATGAAATTGTGGGCGAGGACGGAGGCGTCGCCTTGGGCGGGTATGTCGGGGAGGAATCCCATCGTTTCGCCCGCGCGGATGATTTGTGTGCATTCGTCGACCGATAACGCATCTTGAAGGAGGAACGCGCCGGGGACGTCGGGGACGTCGTGGCGGACCACTGGAGGGTGGGTCTCATCCATTGCAATCGTCCCCGGCTGCGAGGCATAGATAATTGCTGGATGCAAATTCGCCGGTCGACGTTCCGGTCCGGGAATCGTGGAAATTGCGGTGAACTTTGTTTTGAGCAAGTCTGGGGGCATGGCGCCGTTATGTGTTAGGGTGTTTGCCATGGCGTTTGCGTAGATGGGATGGTTGTGGGGTTTACCGACGGACCAAGCTGGATGTCGGCGGACAACGGATTGAGAGGTGGAGCCGGTGTCGATGGCGAGGGCTTCTGCGGTGACGGGGACTGGTTTTCCTTCGCCGTCTTCGAAGGGCTCAGCGGCATCGTGTAACTCTCCAGCCTTCCTCTTCGGCGCAGCGTTGGTTGATGAAAATTCTGGGGCACCACCAACTGGTAAAGGGTTATCGTCATCATCGTAGCCTCCACGCGCAGGTTGACAGACGCGAAGAATCCCGTCCAGGACAGTCATGACCTCCTCAGACCACCCACCCTCCACCCCCACACTCGCAGCATCACACTCCCTAACCCACCTCTGCAACGCCCCCAACTTTGGCTTAATCCCCCTAATCTTCATCTCCGCCAACAAAACCCTCGCGTCCGTCCACGCTCCTGCCTCTAGTGCCGAAGATAACCGTGCCGTAAGCGAGTTCCCCGGGTTCGGAAGCGATTGAGAGTATGCCCATACCGCCGATCGAAGTTGACGGAGATCCTTGTGTTTGAGGAGGGTTGGGTGTGCGGCGAGTTGCTCGAGGGTGTCGACGGCGATGTCAAGGTCGTCTTGGGAGATTACGGCGAAGGGGGATGTTATTTCGGTGTCGTCGGCGGAGGTGGAGGGGGAGGGAGGAGCTACGGACTTCGCGATGACGGTTGAGGCGAGCTTTCTGCGTTTGGCGGTTTTGCCCATGATGGTATGATGGACGGATCAAGCGTCGATTGAGAATTGAGTTTGGAGTAGAGGTGTTGAAGGTCGTATAGGAAAAGTGCGTGGGGCGAGTTTCTAGTGCAAGGGCAGGACAGCGTCGTATGGACGTACGACGATAAGGACTGATAACGGACCACCTGCTGGATCGAATAATCTTGTCAATTGGGCGTTAGGTTTCGGCGGTATTCAACCCTTTGTTTCTTTGGCAGTTCTCCAGGAATTCGAAGCTCTGTCGCAGCCGCGGATCGGATGTCGTTGACTGTGGGAGCGCTGTACGCGTTATAGGTGTAACCTTCACTTACGAAACGTCTCTCGCAATCACCAATCCGTCAGCTCAACTTCGAAACATCTGAGCGCAGCTTAGCAACTATTGCCACTGCAATGACCAACTCTCAACCGACCGCACGAAACCTCGAATCCGTCCTCCTCCTCCACCTCTCCACGGCCCCTCCAACCTTCCTGACCTCCCTCCCGCTTACACCTCATGCCCTACTCATCAGGTGCTGTACATCTTATTCTTCTTATGCAGAGGACTAATTGTGACGGTACAGCTTATGCAGACGCTTCCCAGAGTTGACGTATTCAACCTCTGCTCTCTCCTCCCTCCGATCTACGTTGCAGAAGCTTGCAAGGGTGTGGCATACGGGAGTTTGGATCGGAGACGATAGCTGTTTGGAGTGGTTTGATGTCCGGGTTGTGAGGGTCGCCGCCGTCGCCTCCGGAGTCACCATCCCACCCTTACCCACACCAAAACGCCAACGTATTCGAAAGACCGATCCTTCATCCAAACCCAAAGACCTAGACAGAGGAGTTATTGCACAACACGAGGAAGAGCTCAAACAAACCTCCCTCACCCTCCTCTCAACTCCAACCTTCCTCTCCTCCCTCCCCTACACTCCACCACCAAACACTGTCTCAAATTCCGAATCAGCTTTTATATCTTACTGTCCAAACTTTACGAAGACGGGGTGTGCGAGGGCGAATGGAGGGATGGCCTGTCGTGATCAGGCGCATTTTGTGCCGATTGTGAAGCCGTGGACGGATATTGCTTTGGGGGATTGTTCGTATTTGAGTATGTGTTTTCCCTTCTCACATGAACGAGACTAGTGGAGCTGATATGAGGAGCAGATACTTGTCACCGAATCGCAACCTCTTGCAAATACCTTCACTACGACATCCTCCCCCCAAGCTGCCCTCCCACCCTCTCCAGCTCCTCCTCCTCTTCCCCACCTCGCCCCGACATCTGGTCCCGCACAGAACCAATGTACACCCCACCAACCCCCCTCCCGGCCCAATGGATCTCAGCCGATATCAGAAAGTTGGACTTCCGGAGTCTAGGAAAGTTCGGCGTGGTAATGATGGACCCACCGTGGGACATTCACCAGTTGCTGCCGTATGGGACATTAACGGATGACGAGACATTGCGAATGCCCGGCGAAACTCTCCAGGAAGAAGGAGGTCTACTCCTTCTCTGGGTCACCGGGCGGGCATTGGAAGTCGGCAGACAGGCGATGCAGAGTTGGGGGTATAGGAGAGTCGATGAGGTGGTGTGGGTTAAGGTGAATCAGTTGGGGCGGTGTATCCGGACGGGACGGACGGGGCATTGGTTGAATCATAGTAAGGAGCATCTACTCGTCGGTGTACGCCTCCCATCTTCCTCCCGTTCCCACGAGGCGTTCGACACTCGGGGTATTTCGGCACATTGGCGGCCCCTCGATGCCGATGTTCTCGTGTCTGAAGTTCGAGAGACGAGTCGGAAGCCGGATGAGATTTACCCGCTGATCGATCGCATCGTTGGTCCCAATGTGCGGAAGCTAGAGATTTTTGGTAGGGAGGGGAATTTGAGACCCGGGTGGATTACGGTTGGGAATCAGTTGAAGGGCAGTAGGATTTTGGAGAGGGAGGTGGGGGAGAGGGTTGGGGTAGAGATGGAGGTATCGAGGTGAGCGGCGGATCTAGGATTTTGTATCGAAACTTTTGATGAACGAAGGATCACAGTGGAATGGTAACGGCAGTTGGTCGATAGTTCTGATTTGATATCACACCGTGAGGAACAGCTGGGGCGCGCTGTTGCAAACCGCCAACGACAGGACGCGCCTGCCCTAGCAAAAGGTCTTTACACATATTTGCTTCGTGATCTGTCTGGACTCCTCCTAAGAGTGTATTTTTCCGAGTTCGTTGCAGGGTTCTTCAGAACAGCTGGGATTCCCTGTGTGACGTCATGTTCTACGCAATGATCGACAACCTTATACATCCAAACTCCAAGAAAATGTCTGTCTCGCCTCCAATGCTTCCTCAGCCGTCATCAACTGACCTTCACAAACAACTACAGCCTCCATGAACGGTACAGAAACGTCCTCATCGCGGACTGTGGCAGCAGATCCCGATCCCATCTCCCGCTCCTCTAATGGCACCGCCGTCCTCCCTCCTGATCCGTCCCAATTGACCGGAGAATTGCCACCCCTCCCTTACACCCTCCACACCCGCAAACTTTCCATCCTCTCCTTCTGGACAATGATGCTCATCGACTCCTGCCTCATGCCAATCGCCCTCTATGTCGGCCTCTGGTACGGTACCTCACTCTCTCACAACCACGTCTTCACCATCTCCACCGCCCTCTTCGGTGGCGTCGCGATATGGGAATATACACTCCGTTCTTGGCACTTAGCGTTTGGGAAGAACTCTTTGCGGAACAGGCCGTTGGGGAATGACAAGAAATGGGGATTCGATGCCTTTCATTGGTGTTTTACGGGGCTTTGGGTGGTGTTGGCTGCGGAGTTGATCGTGGGTACGATTCCGCGGGAACCGGTCATTAGGCTTCTCGCTATGCCGCCTGCGAGTGTGATGTTCTTTATGGGTTTCGTGATGCTGTTTAACGACTTCCTTTACTCCCGCCACCATCCCGCTCCTTGCCGCATTTCTTCTGTCCCGAAAGGCGAACCGATCCGTCCATCGGTCTATACCATCGTTGAAGACATCGTCGCCGTCGACGGAGCCGGTGGCCGGACCTTCCGTAGCGCATGGAATGAACGCTATGTAGCATCCCCAGTCCTCCCCGATCTTCTCTGGAGACTCGGGGTGTTTTGGGCGATCGGCGCGATTGTGGTTGCGACAGCCCTAACGGGTGTTGTGATGGGGATTAGGAGTCAGTTGGTGGGGTATATTGTCGCGTGGGTTGTGCCGTGGATTTGGGTTGCGGTTTGGACGGGGGTTACGGTGGGGTGGGTTAGGAGGGGGTTGAGAAGGGAGAGGGAGGTGTGGGAGGAGATGAAGGAGAAGCAAGGAATTGAGTGGAGATCTACTCAAGAAGTATAAAGGGAGAGAGGAGTGGGCTATATGAATGAGAGGAGGAAAGAGTAGAATCTACCGGAGATATTGTGTGGGAATATTGCTATCGACGGCGTTGGCGTTTGAGAAGAATGTACCTGGGTTACTCTTCGAATAAATTGCTTCTTGGTAATACGAGAAAGTCGCGATCGTCTGTGAAAGGGCTGAGTCAAGCGAAGACTGATAGTACCTTCCAAAGCTACTGTACTCGTGCAAATAAGTTTGGCAACCGCGGGAGTTTGTGTAGAGCCGCCATTACTCAACTCAACGAATTCCACAAACTGTTTGTGATACTTCCAATCTTCATCAATCCAGTGCTTTGAAATATTCCTGGCTTTCTGTGCAATTCTGCAAGATCTCTTTGTTATGTCGAATGGACATTGCCAAACCGTAAAAAGCATTCTTGAAGTTTGGGCTTCTGGATCGAAAGGATAGGACTTGTGACAAACAGTTCGTTGATTTCGTGGAGACGAGCAAAGGCGGTTCTGAACTCCCGTTTAGATTGATGCTTTCCATGTATTGTTGAAAAGGTTGAACATCTCCTTTGAGGTGTGTTCTCCGTGGTCAAACGATGTCAGATCAAACCTTGACTTCAATGGGGCCCTCAAGCTTAGTCGGCCGAAATCAGTCTTGTCCTGGATACATCCGGAGTGCAATACCTTTCCCCGGTAGAACCGGAAGGGATTTCTCTGCTTTAGTAGTCACAATCCTCGTGATTTCCCATCCCTTCATTTGTGTGCGGTACGGCCGTCCTGCAGCCCCCATGCACAAAGCTTAGCCGAGAGCACCTTCGCAATTCAATCATCAGCCTTTGAGCTTCTCAAAATGGCCGCCCAAATGACCCCCGATGAGGTATGATGGGACGCTGTCTAGTATTAGTCATGGACCCGAAACCAGGCGTGACGGATGAGATCAACAAAACTTCTCAAACCGATTCAGGAAAGGCATGTTGCGGATAAGGAGTGGCAGGAGATTGCAGAGAGGGCGCACCCGGTGGAGGGAGGGAAAGCGAAGAAGGAGAAGGAGAAGGAGAAGAAGAAGGATAAGGGGAGTAGGTACCCCAGGGGTGAGAAGAAGGCGGAACAGACTGAGGCGGAGAAGAAGGAGGTTGGGGGGAGTGTTGAGGAGGCAATGGGTGAGTTGAAAGTTGGACAGTAATAATAATCAAAAGGAATATATACTGTGATTGGAGGGACGTACGTAATGGAACAGCATCAATAACAGGCATTCTAAACATTGGTGTCTCAAGGATCGATAATAGGTATCTCTAGATCTGCATCTATAGCTATTCATCCACGTAGTATCTCTTTCCTTTCATGTAACTTCCACATCAATATCTAATCAGAACCAGGCTTCACCTTCGTAAGCCTCAAACCTTCAACCCCCTTCAACCCCATCTTCCCAACCGTCTGCGTCCACATCAACGGCGGCAACTTCAACCCAAACCCACCCTTTCCACACGCCATCTCATTCGCCATCTGCACCAGCGCCTGAGGTTTGAGTGCTCCCTTCTGCTGCTTATAGAATCCGAGCCAGGCAGAGTATGCCCTGTTTTTCGTTTGCTCCGGGACGCGGGACATAGCAGAGTTAGAGACCTCGAAGTCGGTGGAGGTGGGGGCGAGGGTGTGTGGGGCGAGAGGGAGGTCTTTGATCTGGGTGAGGTAGGCGGCTTCGTAGGGTGCAAGGATGAGGAATCCTTTTCCGCTCTTACCTGCACGTCCGGTTCGTCCGAGACGGTGGATGTATTGTTCGCGGTTTGAGGGTTGTCCGACCTGGATTACATGCGTGACGTCCGGGAAATCCATACCGCGGGCTGAGACGTCGGAGGAGAACAACACTCCGGTCTTCGCGGCGCGGAATTCGTCGGCGGTTTTTTCGCGTTTGGATTGGGAGAGGCGGGAGTGGATTTCGTAGGTTGGGAGGAACGGAGTGAGGGTGCTTCCGATGTGGGTGAAGTGTTCTGCGAACAGTTTTGTTTGGTAGGCGGTGGGGAGGAAGATGACCGCCTTGAATTTGTCGGTCGAGGCTTGTTCGGCGCGGATGAGGGCGAGGAGGGAGGGTAAGACGGTGTTGACAGAGGGGACGTGGATAAGGAATTGCGGGATCCGCTCGTGGGTGCCTACGTCGGTTTCATTGATGGTGTTGATGAGCGCGTAGCCGGGTCTCAACAGCTTACCGGCGAGCTGCTTGATCGTGTTGGGAACCGTGGCGGAGAAGAGGAGGGTTTGGCGCTTGGGGGTTGGGGGGAGGAGAGCCATAATTTTGTTCAGCGCGACTGAGAAACCTTGGTCGAGGAGTTGATCAGCTTCGTCGAGGACAAAGAATTGGACTTCGGTGAAGCAGGCTTTGAGAGATGGGTTTGAGAGGTGGTCGTGGAGACGGCCAGGGGTGGCAATGAGGAGGTCGGGGCAGGTAAGGACTGCCTTCTGGTCTTTGCTAGTGCTCAATCCGCCGATTGATGTGTGACTTCTAAAGTTGAATCCGGTCATCAGGAGTCGTGCCTCATCCGTGATCTGTTTGGCCAGTTCGCGGGTAGGAGAGACGATAATGGCGCGAATGGATTTCTTGGTGGGCGGACGTCCCATCAAAGTCTGGATTGCGGGGATGAGGAACGCAAGTGTCTTTCCGGTTCCAGTCTTAGCCTGAGCGAGACAGTCTTTGCCCTCGAGAATGGATCCCATGGTGGCGGCTTGGACCTCTGTCATAGTCTTGTACTTCAAGTTGTTGTGAATAGCTTGGAGAAGATTGGGCTTGAGGACGCCTTGGTCGGCGAGGTCCTGGAAAAGAGGAGTCGCAGACGAAGGTTCGGCCGGAGTGGTGGGTGCGGTGGAGAATTGGGACATGGACTCGGGAGTAGCAATGTCCATACGGGGTCTCTTCTCAGGAGGAGCGACACCAGCCTGGGAGACTTTGCGAGCACCTCCACGAGCACCTCCGCGGGAGAATCCACGGCTACCACCACGTCCTGCACGACTCATTCCTTTCGTTCCATTGTCCATTGCTGTTAGAGTAATTCGTCGGAGTGCGGACAACATTCGTTATTTCTTCTCGAGGAGGCGAGTTTTGAAATTACTCGGTTTGGAAATCATAGTGCGCGTAGTGAGGCACATGAAGCCGCACCTAGATAAACTTCCTCGAAGATAGAGATGTCTCCTGTGAAGAGGAAGGTCGACTGTTTTTCGAATGGACTCAGTTTGTTGCGGTCGATTGGGGGCGGTATTCACTGGATTCGAAGGCTGGCAATACCGTGGGAACCACCCGGCGAAAAGAACAAAAATAGTAGCATCGGGAGGTTTCGATCCTCCGATCTCCGGGTTATGAGCCCGGCGGCTTAAACCACTTGCCTACGATGCTTGGTTTGTTCAGATGTTTTTGCACCAACAATATATTCAAAGAAGACACAAACATGTGAAGAAACTGTTCAGTTTCATGACTTTTCTTTGACCCGTATTTGGATGTTTTCAAGTACCCTGTCTGAGAACTTCGTATTTTCCCTTCAGGGTCCTCATATAAGGTTGACGTTGGCTCAGAACGAATGCGCCGCTGACAGGGTGGGCGCCTGCAGTTAATAACATAACAAACCTTAACCACCAACGAATACTCGTAGGTCAATCCGTATACCCTGAACAACCAACACCAAGAACAGGAGCTTCTTGGACAAGGTAGGATGTCAACAAACGGTACGGCAGGCTCAGCGGCTGCTCTGTCCGGTACATCACTGTCGTCCTTCGTCACGTCTCTTGCCGCGAACGCAGCGATTGCAGCGACAGAAATTGCCATCTTCTGCCTTATCAGAGGACGTATCAAGCGCATCTACGAACCTCGTACCTTCATTGGGCCTGAATCGTATTCACTACCCCTTTCAACCATAACTCTGGGCATGAATGCTAATGAATGCCGCAGTAAACGAGCAGAACCGCTACCCCACGACCCCCTTCGATGGATTCGCCCATTGATCCTGACACCACCAACAGACGTCATCGCCAAGTCTGGACTGGATGCCTACTTCTTCCTTCGATACCTACGGATGCTCGTGTACCTCTTCGGTGGTGGTATGCTCTTCGTCTGGCCAATCTTGCTACCGATCAATGCTACCGGTGGTAACAACACAGGGCAGGCGCCCGCTGGAGCGGAAGTGAAGGGTCTCGATATCTTGGCTTTCAGCAATGTGAGTAGATACCATACGAAGCGACTGTGGGCCCATTTGATAGTCGCGTGGGTGTTTATCAGTATGCTTGCTCTATCTTGTTGCTCGAGGACGCATCTAACAAGGCTCTAGTTGGTACCCTGTTCTTCATCCAGCACGAACTGGCAGCATTCATTCGGATCAGACAAGCGTACTTGACCACACCGCAACATCGTCTCCGTGCGTCAGCGACCACTATCCTGGTTTCCACCATTCCGGAGGAGTACCTCGATGAAAACGCACTCAAGAAGCTCTTCTCCTGCTACCCAGACGGTGTCCGAAAGGTGTGGTTGAACAGAGACTACAGCAAGTTGCTCGACAAGGTGAAGGACAGGGACAATATTGCAAGAAAGCTCGAAGGAGCTGAAACGGATCTTCTCAAAACGGCACGAAAATTACGAGAGAAAAGACTGAAGCAAGCGCAGAAGGCAGCGAAGAAAGCAGGTGAAGAGCGCGAAATCGATGAGATTGAACTCGTCGCAAAGGACAACATGGAAGAAGACGAGGGTCTCGCGGCACGATACGTACCACACAACAAGCGCCCCACGCACCGCCTCCCCGTCAGGTTCCTCCCCGCTCTTCCCCTGGTGGGCAAGAAAGTCGACACCGTTCACTGGTGCAAAACCGAGCTTGCTCGTCTCAACCCCGAGATCGAGGAGGACCAGGCATCACCGGAACGCTTTCCGCGAATGAATTCTGCATTCATTCAGTTTCATTCGCAATTGGCTGCACATTTGGCTGTTCAAGCCGTCGCGCACCATGTCCCGTTACACATGGCACCGCGATACATCGAGGTCGCCCCCGAGGATGTCATTTGGGAGAATATGCAATTGAAGTGGTGGGAACGCTACATCCGTATCGGAGTCTGTGCGGCCGCCGTAGGTGCTATGATCGTGTTCTGGGCCATCCCAACCGCGTTTATCGGTTCCCTTTCCAACATCGCATACCTCAGCAAAGAAATTCCCTGGCTTGGCTTCCTCGCGAATATCCAGCCTCAGTGGATCTTGGGTATCATCACTGGTTTGCTCCCTTCGGTGTTGTTGTTGGTTCTCAACTCGGTTTTGCCTATCTTGTTGAGGTTCATTGCGAGACAGATGGGACCGCCGACGAAGACTCAGGCGGAGTTTTTGGTGCAGCATATGTACTTTGCGTTCTCCGTCGTGCAGATCTTCCTTGTCGTCTCGATCTCGTCCTCGATCACCTCGGTCGTCGCGTCCATTATCAATAACCCTAGCTCAGCGGCGACGATCCTGGCGCAGAACCTACCCAAAGCAGCGAACTTCTTCTTTTCGTATTTGTTGTTGCAGGGGTTGACAGGAGCCGCGGGTACCTTGTTGCAGGTTGTTGGGTTGATCCTATTCTATGTCTTTGGATTCCTGTTCGATAACACGCCCAGGAAGAAGTGGAAGAGGTTCTTCCACTTGAACACCATTGGGTGGGGTACGACGTTTCCAGTGTTTACCACGCTCGCTGTTATCGGTAGGGTTGTTGAGACGTCTTCTTCGGTGGAAATGCTAATCAAGTCTTACAGGTCTCACTTACTCCATCATCGCACCGTTGGTCATGATTTTCGTCCTCGTCTCGTTTGCGTTGTTCTACTTCGCTTACCTGTACAATTTCGTCTACGTTTACCGCTTCGAGATCGATACTGGAGGATTGGCGTACCCACGCGCTCTCTATCACACCTTTACCGGTCTTTACCTCCTCGAGATCATTATGATCGGATTGTTCTTCCTCGCTCGTGATGCGGATGGGATTGTTGCATGTACACCACAGGCTATCCTTATGATCATCCTCCTGTTCGGAACGGCCATCTTCCATGTATTGCTGACGACCGCATATGACCCGTTGACGCAGTACTTGCCCGTGACGTTGGAGGAAAGCGTGATGGAGCAAAAAGAGTTGCATGAACAGGCTGTTGAGTTGACGAGTTTGAGGCCGTTCCCGAGTTTGACGAGTAGTCAGGCGAGGCGGAGGAGGAAGGCGAAGAAGGAGGCCTCTGCGTCGGAGAAGGATGATGCTAAGGCGGCGAGGGAGAGGGAGGTGGAGATGGTTGGAAAAGTTGACCATGCACCTGAGGAAGAGAGCAGTGAGCGACAGAAAACCGACTTGTTTGTGGATACGGAGGTTGCACGACAAGAGGGCGTCATTGATTCCCCAGATACCCTTGGCGATGCCAAGCTTGAAGACTCGGAACAGCGCGATTCATCGAAAACGAAAACCGTCTCCTTCGACGATGCAGCAAAGAGTGCACCGATATCGCCAGCACCGACCTCGCACGCAACCCACTCCGCGGCCGCCCTCGACCCCGCCGGCCTGGCCGCCCCCTCATCGCCATCTGACGCAAAAACAACCACGACCACAAACACTCACTCCTCCTACACCCTCGGCTTCGGCGATCAATCTAACGGTGTTCACCTCAGCCCTTCCGAACGCTCCGCACTCCTCGACCGCGCATTCACCCACGCCGCTCTCCGTGCCCGTGAACCAATCGTCTGGATTCCGAAAGATGAGTTGGGCATTGCGGGGGATGAGATTGAGAGGACGAGGAGGGAGTATGAGGGGTTGGTCAAGATTGAGGATCAGGGGGCTTGGATTGGTGGGGATGGGAAGGTCAGGTGGGAGGGGAAGCCGCCGGATTGGGATGAGAGAGAGTTGGTGGAGATCTGAGTGTTGTGGATGGCTTGGCGGGTGGTGCACCTTGACGAGATGCCGGGGTTTGGTGTACCAAGACCCATGAGGGGAAGAGAGTGGAGTATGTGTTTTGGCGCGTGGAGGAAGCATACTTTGCCGAGGACTTGCTCGACAGCCGACGTGGAACCATGAGGGTTGGGCATACCATAGCATGCGCATTGATATCAACGAGCATGATGTATCGGTGGTGTTTGGACATGCGGATTGTGATGTGTTATTCATCAAGAATATGACTAGAAAATAATATTGCATCTGATACCCGAACTTCTGCTTGGAACATGGTCCTCCAACCGCTCCTCGCGATCTGTTCATCCAATAGCACCCTCAGCTGATACAAACGATTGAAGCTCTAGCAATCCCGATTTTCCATGTGTGATATTTTTAGCACGCTCGGCTGCCGCGGCGCACGGCCCATGGCCCAGGTTTCGGACCGGGCCCGGGTAGATAATCGCCGGCGCAAGCGTACCCGTTTAAAGCATCGGGTTAAGATGAGTCGAGAAGAGAAGTTTGATGCGATTGGGATGAAGACGAGTGACGCCGACGTTCGTACGATCGGTTGCGGCTCATGTGATCATGGAGATGGCGATGGCAATGAGCTACAGCTGAAGGGAGGCGCGGTTATTCGAATAGATCACGATGTGCTAAGCTTTTTCAAGCTGGGTGACGTTCGCAAGGAATCTCAAACGAATGTCTATCCTTTACCCGTTTGAGACGTGCCGTGTGTGTAATCTCCAGTCGTAGCTCTGCTGTGAGATGACGGTGGTCAAAGCGCACGGCTGCTCAGTGCCGCAATAGCAATTGAATGTACCCAGCCGTTTCCTTTCTCAGTCGCATCCTCGATATCCTCCATCAATTGAGCTCTGCTATTAATAGAAGCCCAACCTCCCGTCCATCGAGCACCCCACCGCGCCACACCCGCGACCTCCCAAACAACGCCAAGCACCAGTCACCAGCGACTCCGGATATATGACGGGAGGCTCGTGCTAAGACCGCCGAGACGCCAGAGGTTGGCAAACTTAGAACGAGCTGGTTCTCTCTTGTTTGATCTTCATTGCACACGTCCTGAGCTTTCTCGGCTGGTTACGAGCGAGTATCAATTATAAAGGCTGGTCCTTGTCCGCACTATTTCTACCAATATCGACGTTCAGCTGCTGTCAACCTTTACAACCTTTCGTTACCGTTGCCGTTACAGCTTTCTCCTTTCCTTAACGTTTTTGTTCAACAACACTCTTTGACGACACGAACGATGTTCACCTCAGCAATCTCTCTGGCCTCGGCCCTACTCCTCTTTTCCGCCCCATTCACCTCTGCTCAAACGACCTCCTCCTGCAACCCAACCCAGGGCGACACCTGTGCCGCTGTCGATGCCTTCCCCACCTCCACAACCGTCTACGACTGGACCGGTCTCTCCGGCTCTGACGTCCCCGGAAACTGGACCTTCAACGGCTCCGGCGAACTTTCCTACGACGGCGACAACGGCATGGCCCTCACGATCGCAAAACGCTTCGACGCCCCCGTCCTCGAATCGAATCTCTGGATCTGGTACGGAAATGTCAAAGCGACTATCAAGCCCGCCGCCGGAACAGGGATCGTCTCGTCGTTCATCCTCCTCAGCGATGTCCTGGACGAAATCGACTGGGAGTGGTGCGGAGGCGACGACTACCACTCTCAATCCAACTTCTTCTGGCAAGCGGATACATCGACGGGATGGACCCGTGGTGGTATGCACGATATCGGAAACTCCATCTCGGACTACCACACTTTCGAAATTGACTGGACACCCGAACGTATCGAATGGATTGTTGACGGCGTCGTATACCGCACTCTCACTTCCGCTTCCTGCACGGTCGGCAATACTGTCGAGTTCCCGCAGACCCCGTCGCAGATCAAGATTGGTAATTGGGCGGGTGGAGACCCCGATAATGCTGAGGGCACGATTGAGTGGGCAGGTGGTGTGACGGATTATGCGGGTGCGCCGTTTACGATGTATATCAAGGACCTAACTGTGGTTGATTACTCATCTGCGAACACGTTTTCCTATTCTGGTACTTCGGGGATGGCGGATTCGATTTTGATTGATGGTAAGGAGACGAGTGCGACGGGTGGTGAGGCGGTGTCGTCTGCGCACTCTACGACTACTGCGGCTGCGACTGGTGGTTCTACCTCCTCCGGTGGTTCTCTTCCTACTTCTGGGTTGACGACTTCTGTCGCCAGCACTGTTTCGTCTGGCAGCGCGACGACCAAGACCGGTTTCGTCACCTCTACCGCTAAGCCCGAGCCGCACGTCGCATACTCCTCCGGTGCCTCCTCTGCCGCCGCTTCTGCTTCTGCCTCCGTCGCTGCTGTTGCTGGTTCAGTCTCTGGATCTGCATCCGGATCTTCCTCCGCCAAGGCATCCGCAGCCAAGACTTCCTCCGCCGCCAAGGTGTCTGGTATGTCTACCAACACCACACTCGCACAGAACTCTGGTGCGTTGGAGAACCATGCCCGTATCGGTGCTGTCGCTGTTGTCGCTTGGTTGTTGGGTGTCGTGACTTTTATTGTCTGAGTTTGAGTACGAGTTTCATTGTTTTTTCGTTGCCTTGCGTAGCTGGACTACGTTTGGCGAAGCCCCTCTTCCGTGTGGGAGGGAGCTGTTATATCATTGATACACTACACTACATTGTTTTTCGTTGTCGGTTTCGGTCTTCCGCTTTGATGTTGCATGTGGGAGTAATACGTATGGAGCAGGAACATTGTGGATAAGGACTTTATAATCGGTGGAATGTCGTGCAATTAGGTATTAGCTATAGGATTAGCGATATTCAAGAGATCTTTTCAGCCTCTCATCTGCTGTCATGATGCTATACACTCATCCCTGGGTTGCAATTATGTGCAGCTTCCTCATTACCTATCGCCTCGACGAGGTCAAATGGTCACCAGGAATGTTTCAAGGAGATTACGTCTATGATGGAAGAACTCTCCGAGATTAGGTATGAGTTAAGGAGCACTTCACATGGCTCAGCTGGCGATGAGGTGGAGGCTGGGGTTATCTCGCGTGCGAGAAATAAGGCTTGGCAGGATCGTCGGGGCCGAGATATCGAGGGTTGGGTGTTGGGGGAGTTGTCGGATCATGAGGAGAGAACAGAGGCAGCTGTGTAGACGGAGAATCATGAAGAGGCATAGAGAAATGTACAAAACTATCCGGGGACCTGGCAGGTGAATGGAGGAGATGCTCTTCCTCAAGGGTGGTAGATTTGAAAGCGGGTCAGAAAGGTGATTTGTATCAGTGCCATTACCCTACTCATCAGCAAGCATCGTAGGCAAGTGGTTTAAGCCGCCGGGCTCATAACCCGGAGATCGGAGGATCGAAACCTCCCGATGCTACTATTTTTGCTCTTTTGCCCGTGTAGTTCCCACGGCAGCTCGTTCTGGATATGTGGGTCAGGAAGGTGTTTTCGCACAAAAACAGCCCAATATCGATATCTTCACCTTGAAAGCGTAGCTATAGACTCGGCGGGCATTGGTGACAACCGACGTCAATTTGCCCTGTGTGAACCCTGCGTTGTCTACGTTACTGCATATGCTCCACTTTTTTTATACAGAGCAACAGCAGTGAAAATGGGCAAGAAGAACGCAGGCAACGCTCGCCTCGAAAAGGCGCAAGATACTTTCAACAAACACTTCGAGACCATCTACGGCGAAGAGCGATGGGCAGCACTACAACCCGCAATGCTCGGCTCGACACGGCACTGCGCACTCCTCAATCAGTTCGTCGAAGCGAAGGAAGTCAAGGCGACGTTGGGCGTTGAAGACAAGGATGCTGAACCGTTACCTTTCGTTTCAATTCCTTGTGTGGTGAAGAAGGAGCACGATGAGCGCACGTCGACCGAACATCCTTTCAACCCACCAAAGCCGAGTACGACCAACGGTTCGAGAGGTGGTTTACGGACACACTACCTGATGGACGCAGCATCCGTTCTAGTCACCGAAGCACTGAACGTCACGCCTGGTCTGGATATCCTCGACCTCTGCGCCGCGCCTGGCGGAAAGAGTATCGCGATCGCACAACAACTATTCCCGCACCTCCACGCCGGCGCCATCAAGCCGGAACATCAAGGAGTCAAGATCGGCACGCTCCACGCAAACGAAATGAACCCCGCCAGACGAAAGCGACTCCGCGGAAACCTCGAAGAATACCTCCCCGCCCCTCTCTTCGAAAAACGCAAAATCACAGCCACAGAACACGACGGTACCAAAACGCTCCACTTCCCAACCTCGCACTATGATCGTGTTTTGCTTGACGCTCCGTGTGGTTCCGAACGGCATATTCTTCATTCGGTGTATGAAGGTGGAGACGAGATGATCCGCTGGAAACCCAAAGCCTCGAAAGAGATCTCGGCAATCCAACTCGAGCTCCTCGAAACAGCCGTCAAAGTCGTGAAACCCGGCGGTCTAGTCGTCTACGCAACCTGCTCCATCTCACCCGAAGAAAATGACGACGTCGTCCGCTCCTACATCAAACGCCTCAAAAAGCGAAACGAGCGGTTCAAGGCGATGGAGGCGGAGAAGGGGGAGGGGGATAAGTATGAGCAGAGTGAGGTTGTGGGGAGGGGGGTCAGTGTGATTGAGGTGGAGGTTGTGAGGAGGAAGGAGGGGTTTGCGATTGGGGAGAAGACGAGGTATGGGCATATCGTGTTGCCGGATACGGAGGGGAGGTGGGGTCCGTTGTACTTCTCTATCCTGAGGAGGACCTCGTGAGGAAAAGAAAAGAAGGAACGGAAGACGCATGCGCGAATGTACGGTAATCGCAGGTCATCTTGAGCTGGCGAAGCGCATGAACTGTTGCGGCAGTCCTTGAGATGAAATTTGCGTCAAGAACCGACGAATACCTGGATATGACGAAGAAGCTTACAAAGAAGGGTGCCAGTACAAAAGTTATAAAGGGTATTTCAAACACATACGGTAGCTATCTACTCCAAAAAATACACGTTCCAGAGGAGGTCTAACACACCGGCATCTCTAGCGTCACCCACTCCCATCCATCCTCTATCCTCCACCCCCATTTCTTCCCCATACACCTAGGCATTCGCCAACTTGGCATTGACAATCGCAGCCTCCTTATCCATACTTCCGCTCGACTGCATATCAACGCCGTCAATGATACCATGCTCAGTCTGCATGACGTTGCCGTCCTCATCATATTGCAGAACATCGTCGACGTGGACTTCGGAGTATGACAAACTCTTGGTCGGGGGGAAGAACTTGGAGATAATGGTGTATGCCACGAGAGACACGACGAGTCCGAAGATCCACGACAACGAGTACGTGTACGGGTTCGTGCTCTTAACTCCGGTAGAGTTAATAGCATGTGCGAAATCCGGGATGTTGGGACCCCACCCGATGAAGAACGCGACAACCGCACGCCAGTTAACGCCGTAATCGAACCAATACGCACCACTCGGGGATGCGTTGTAGACCTCCCGAATATCGAGCACCTTCTTTCTCACGATCCAGAAATCGGCGATCATGACGCCTGCGATGGGACCCATATAACACCCGTACGCACCGAGGAAGTTGACGAATTGGGTCGCGTTCGCCACGATTTTCCATGGACACATCAGGATGGAGATAACACCTCCGGCGAGACACGCACGGCGAATGTTGAAGTACGTGGGGAACAACGCCGTGAAATCCGTCGCGAACGAGATGGCGTTCGCCGAGATATTACCAGCGACGGAGGCGATCAACCATCCAAACCCGCAGAAAAAGACAGCACCGCGGTTACCCCAGAGGGCAAGGACGTCGTTTGGTGCGAAGACGGTTGAGCCGTAGACGACTTCGCAGGCGTTCGCGGTTGCCATGGCACAGATGACGGGAACGGTTCCGGAGACGGCGAAGACGAGACCTTGCCACCATTGGAACTTGTTCTCTTTGGAGAAACGTGAGAAGTCGCTGACATTGACGGAGAATGTTGCCCAGAGGGAGTTAACGGCGTTCAACCCCGTACAAACAGCCAAGCCCTTGCTCATGCTCGTCATCCTCACGGGTCCATCGATCAAAGGTCCCGTGGGTGCCTGCGAGAGACCCCAGATACCCATTGCGATGAAGGTGATGGGCGAGATGATTGTCTTGAGGAGAAAGAAGTATTTGAGTTTGTGGACGGGGATGAGGGAGATTGGGGTTTGGATTGCCCAGTAGACCATGATTCCGATGAGGCCGGCGGATGTTACGCCGGCGGATTCGGGGAAGTGGTTGGGGAAGTGGCGGAAGGAGGGCCAGATCGCGATGAGCATTTGTTCGACGATGACTCCGCATTGCTAGAACTCGAGCTGTTAGCCAGACTGTTGTGCAGAAGGATACGGAGAAGGGGGGGGGAACGTACGTAAGTCAAGATGGCAAGCCAAAACAACGCCAAGATCGTCCTGCAAACAATCGGAAAATACGCTCCATAATACCCCCAACTCGTCCTCGCATAAACGGGGAACGGCGTTCGGTAATACGCTCCGACGAAACCATTCAAATAAAGCACACACCCGGTCAACAAGAACCCGAAGAACGTGAGCGGAATGGCTTCGCGCATGGTGAAACCGAGGCCGGCGAGGGTCGAGCCGATGAGCCAGACGGGGGTGATGAATTGGTCGGACATCCAGTAGAAGATGAAGTCTTTTTTGGTCCAGACGCGGCGTCTGGGTTCGATTGGGTCGAGATCTGCAAGACTTGTCAGCATGAGATCACGGAGGAGAGAGAGAGCAGGACGACGTGAGACGTACCGTGGTTCGACCAACGCATGGAGTTGGAGAGAGCTCCAGGCTGCGGAGGGATCTTCCATTCGCTGGGGTGAAGGAGGGCTTTGGGGTTCCCCATCCCCTTGACTGTTTTCCTGAACGAGGCACTGACCTTCTCCATCGTCGTCGTCGTGGTGTTGATGATGGGTTGATTCTGATCTGGGCAAGACGGGGATGCTCGACCTTTAATAGCCGTCGAGGATGATCCCGCGTCCCCGCTTTACGACGCGTCCGTGTCCTCGAGGCGAGACAAGATAGGACTTTGAGGTTCTCGAGGCGTCGAGTTTCCCGAGCATGCCGACGCGCTGCTGCCTCGAAATCAGTGCATGTGCATTATCGTGTAGCGCAAAGTTAAACGGCAGAAATCGGCAGACATCGTACGTCGGGTGCATCGGCTAGATGAAAAGTGGGCGCGGTGCATCTCCCGGCAATCTAGGCCCGTGTTCTATCTTGCAATCTTTAGGGTCCTGATCATGGCACACCCCTGTTTCTATGATCCCCTCCAAGCTGCCCCGGTGCAATATCAGTTCTATGGCCCTCCCCCCGGGGCGCCGTGGAATTTTTTTGATGGATATGGGCACTGAGTCCGTGGGAGTGTTTCCGTGGGAGTGTTCTGGCTGTTTGTTTTGTACATACTGCTAATGTAAATAATATTAACTTGTCGTGTTCTGCTCTGATCTCTCCAATTCGGCGCAGAATCCGCGCGCGGGGGTGTGTTACGAAGAAACAGGGGTGTGCCATGATCAGAACTCATTGTAAACTACATGATACGCAAAGGCCACGCTGTGACATCCAATAGGTTCCGTGGTCTAGTTGGTTATGGCGGCGCCTTAACACGGCGCAGGTCCCCGGTTCAATCCCGGGCGGAATCACGTTTTGCCTCCTGCGATCGCGCTCCTAATCGATTCCTCGCCAACTCTTGCCTCGCTCAGTCAACAACGTGGAAATTCGGCACCGCGCTTCCACTTTCCGCCGAAAATTGACAGCGCTAACCCCATCCAGTAGAACAAATACTTCCGGCTTCGAACTCGGTCAATCGGCTCGGAATGTGATTCGCCAATGAAAGAGTCCTCGAAGGGATGACAAATGAAGTAACGTGGATTCTCGCGCCGGGAATGGCCGCCATGTGCGACGTATAAAAGACCTTGCTTGGTTCACAGACCACCAACTTGATCCGTTCTACCATTCGTTTAGCAGCATGATCAACTCCACCCAGAAAGACATCATCAAAGCAACCATCCCCCTCCTCGAAACCGGCGGCGAAGCCCTCGCATCCCACTTCTACAAACTCCTCCTCGACGACCATCCCGAACTTCGCCCGTTATTCAACTCCTCTCACCAAGCGTCTGGACGGCAGCCGCGGGCATTGGCAGGTGCGATCCTCGCTTACGCCAAGAATGTGGACGACCTCACCCCTCTCAAAGCCGCCATCGAACGGATTAACAATAAGCACGTCGCACTCCAAATCCTGCCCGAACACTACCCCAAAGTCGGATCCTCCCTCCTCCAAGCTATCCGCGAAGTCCTCGGTGCAGAGATCGCGACCGAAGAGGTTCTTGCCGCATGGACCGCCGCATACGGTGATCTCTCCTCCCTCCTCATCGGCGCCGAGGAGAAGAAGTATCATGAGCTAGAGGCTGCGCCGGGGGGGTGGCGTGCGGCTCGTTCGTTTCGCGTGGTCGAGAAAGTGGGGGCGTCGGAGTCTATGACTTCGTTTCTCCTCGAGCCTGTTGATGGGGAAGAGGTCATGGAGTGGAAGGCGGGGCAGTATATTGGTCTGAAAGCTGTGGTCAACCACGTTGAACACCGCCGCAATTACTCACTCTCCTCTACACCTAATGGCCGGACGATCCGGATTAGCGTCCAACGCGAGCCGCACGGTGTCTTTTCCAATTACCTTCACGATGAGACGGTGGTTGGTGCGACCATCGACGTGTTTCCCCCCGTCGGGGACTTTGTGTTGAACCCAAAAAGAAAGGGAAACCCGGTTGTGTTGATTAGTGCTGGGGCGGGGATTACGCCCATGGTACCGTTGGTTGAACAGGCATTGAAAGATCGGCCGGTGGTGTTTGTGCACTGCGCACGGTCGGAGGCTTCACACCCCTTCCGCGCCCACCTCGCACAACTCGCTTCCACCCACCACTCGTTGACCGTCCATTCGGTTTACACCTCCTCCAATGATCGTCTGTCCTTATCCCACCTCCAGAAGTGGCTCACTCCCGAAACACTAAGCGAAGCAGATTTCTACTTCTTGGGTCCGAAGGGATTCATGAAGGATGTTAAGGGGTGGTTGAAGCGGGATTTGGGGGTTGAGGAGGAGAGGTTGTTTTGGGAGTTTTTTGGGCCGGCGGAGGAGTTGGACTAGATGGGCATGATACATGAATTGTCAGTAGAGGATTAGACAATGATACTCGGGTTATAAACGAGCAACATTTGACGGCTTCATCATTCATTGCCTTGGGTTAATCGGGGTTTATGAGTTGAAGGACAGTTACTTGTGCGTGTGTGATCGCGATCAAGATCCGGAACTGCAATCACGTATATGGAAAGGAACTTTAATAACGTGCCTAAGGTACATTTCCGACCACGGTATCAATCCAACTTACAAGTTAGAGCAGTCGGCAGAACGAAGTGTACGGGGTGTCGCGCATGCAATATGTTCCCACGGGTTGGGACCGTCCGCATGTACGATGACTTATGTTTGGGTGTATGATAAAGAAACACTTAAGAGTTACATACCTCGCCGAGTGGGAGTATCGTCTTGAACACGTGCCACAGTGAATACGCGTTAAATGTATAAACGAGAATTCTCATTGACCACGTACAGTGCAATCTTGTCACCGTACGTCCTCACGTTCTCACTGAGCTCAAAAGTATCAACCTATTTAGGGTTAGGGTTTAGAGAGGCGGAGGAGGTGCCGAGGAGGATTGAGGCGAGAGCGAGGGCGGAGCCGGTGAACTTCATGGTAGCGAGGGAAGGGTTGAGAGTCCGTGTGACGAGCCATCAAGCCGGGAACCCCATGGGCTTTATATCGCAGCGCACCGCCAGCTGATCTGTAGATTGCTCAGCCCCTACGGTCACCGCACGATCGCTTCTCCACAGAGCATCTCCCTCTCATTCGCTCATCTCAGCACAATCGCATGTTATCGCTTGTCTCGGGTGGTTCGCCTAAACAAGCGCGCTAAGCGAGGTCGCTAACCGAGACGGTCCCGGGAGATTCCGGGGGGGAGTGCACGTGCTCAAGGACGTGTGGCAGTGCAAACGTGTGGCAGTGCAAAGGTATCTGGCTACACGCTGGACTGCGTTCGACACCCCGGGCCATAACCAAATATCAAAAAAGACCCAAAGACTAAATCACTCCACCTCCTCATCCCCCGTAATCCTCACCACCCTAACTCCCTCCCTCTCCCCCTCCACAACCCTACCCCTCCTCCCACCAACAACCCTACTCTCCGCCAACCTTTCAATCCCCATCTGAATACTCGCAACGTGAACCTCAACCGGCACGACCTCACCCCCCTCCGGGCCTCCCTCCCCAATCACAACCGGCCTCGCAACCCGTTCCCTGAGCACCTGCAACCCCGCCTCAAACTCCTCCAACTCCCCCAACACTTCAAGAATATGCCCCTTGGCCACCCGTCTCTGTACTTCCACTGTTTGTAGTAGCTCCAGATGTTCCCGGTGACGGAGGAGCTGGACACGCGCCGTGCGGGAACCGAGGTAGGTCCAGAGATCGGAGAGGATGTCGGCGCGGGCAGAGTTGATGTGGGATTTGGAGGTGTGGAGGAGGGTGTGGAGGGTTTGGAGCGTGGATTCGAGGTGGTCGAGCGTGGAGAGGGTTGTGTGAGATTGGGTGATGCATTCGTGGAGGGAGGATTCGAGGGCCGACATGCTTGCCGCGAAGATTCGGGCGACTTGGGTGCGGCTGACATCAGCAGGGTTGCGCAGTGAGAGCGCATTTTTGAGTTTTCCAGCCAGCGAATCCTCTTGCGGAGGCGGTAATGCGAGCAACGCACCCATAGCCCACCCATTGACCGCTCTTGCCCCATCCACAGCGCCCCCGACCCTCGCCCCCAGCCTTCGGATCTCCCGCGCAGCGCATCCGGCACCAATAGCGAACTCCTCAAGAGTTTGGTCGAGAGCCTCTTTTGAGGCGAGGGAGGAGAGTTTGATGAGTGTCCGGAGATCGGAGGCTGCGGATTGGGTTTGTTGGAGGTGGGATGCGAGGGCGTCGGACGATGTGTCGGTGAGTTCGGCAGAGGAGGGAGAGGGCGGGGACCGGAAGGGGGTGAGGAGGGAGGAGAAGGATTTGAGTTGGAGGTCGATGAGGGCTGGGAAGTCTGCGCCCAAGGGACTCTTGTTGGAGGGAGACGATGATGCTGCGGTGTAGTTCACGCAGATGTCGGATGCGAGGATCGATACACCCGGAATGCGACACATAACCGGTAACACCCTTTCCCTCACCGCCGTCATATTCCCCCGCACACCCGCAACCCACGTCGGAATCACGGGCAACAACGGGACGGATATCAGTTTCGCAAACGACTCAACCCCAAACAGTTCTCGAGCCGTTTCGGAAGCGGAACGGAGGATGAGGCGGAGAAGGGTGGGGACGAGGAATGGTGTCGCGGCGAGGAGGAGGATGAACCCGAGGGGCGAGGCGAGGAGGGCGAGGAGGGTTGTGAAGAGGGCGATGAGGGAGGTTAGGAGGCGGAGGAGGGAGAGGGGGACTTCGAGGAGTTTTTCGAGGATGGCGGGTTTGTGGACATCTTTCTTCGGTGCTGCCACTGGTGCGTGAGTTGCAATTGGCGTTGGCGTCGGCTGTGTACTTGGCTGTGATCTGGCGATAGTCCTAGGACGGGGACTGGGATTGGCACTGCGACGATCCGGTGCGGGTGAAGGAGTATCGTGTGCATCGTAGACCCAGTCCGAGGAGGACGACGTGATATCTGAAGCGGACAGCTTCTGTTCTGCCGGCGATACCTTTACGACGGCCATGGTGGTTTGTCAGGTTTCTACTTGGGTGTACGTCGTATCTAAGGTGTGGCGACTTGCAGCTGCAGCGCGGGTGAGCAATGAAGTCATAGCAGGTAGGGAATGTGGGATCCATTTGATGAAGCTCGAATTGCAACGTTCATGCTCCCTAGTTATATATGACAATTGAAAGTCGGCCGAGACAACGCAATGCAGTCGCGTGCTGAACACCGGTCTTCGTCTATCTTATTGTAGTCCCTACTCGTACGATTCATTTTTCTTGTCTCCAAGTCCACAATGCAAGACCCATTTCCTCCCTTACCATCGACCATCATCCGTCACATCCTTAATCGGATGCAACAACACCGCCCTCCTACACGTCTCCGCATGCTCATGCCACCCCCGATACACCGTCTTCGCAAACCCCGCCCGATAATAATACGTACTCGGATTCATATCCCACTCATGCCCGAAAAACCTCTGATCATTAACTTTGGTATCCAACTCCCTCCGATCCACATCGTGCTCGTAGAACACGGGATGCGGTACGTACACGGCTTTCAGGTGTCGGGCGTATGCGATGCTGGCGGGGAATGCTTCGCAGTGGATGTGGCGCCCGAGGGAGTTTTCGGCGTGGAGGGCGAGGAGGAGAGGACGGGAAAGGCGGGCGTTCGTGATGATTGAGGCGCGGCGGGGGGTTGAGCGGGCGGAGGGGTAGTTTACGATGTCGTCTTCGAAGTACCAGCCGCTGTTGATGGGGTCGAATATGGGGTCGAAAGCGATTAGATCGGCTTCTTCACCGATACCGATGGATGGAGTTGTCGATGGTGGGGACCAGTTTTGCGTACCTTCGATGATCCAATGTTGGCTGTTATTCCAAGTCATCTCCCCACGCGGCTGACCCCGCGCAAACACCTCGGCTTTGTTCAATAGCTCGTAGTAATTCCCGATATACCGAACGTCCATTTCCCAGTTGTAGAAGAAGTCGTATTCCGGATGCCGTGTCGCAAACCACTGCAACGGCGCCAGATTCCCCCGATGGACACCGTTAATGTGTCCAGCCCGGTGCCAATCGTCGACGACATCGAGCCCAGGGTAGAGTGCCCGCATCTGGATCTCAGACCACAACTCGACGAATCCTTCAAACTCAGCCGGAACCGCGTCCCGTGCTTTATTGGTCCAGATTTCGTCGTCGGCAAAGATTGCTGCACCGTCCTTGACTTGATGAAGGATGAAGATGTCGAATTGGCCGCCGGTGTTGAGACCGAGTTCGATGATTAGTGCGCGGAGGTTGAGGATGTCGTCGTGGTGGTAGGTGTACCCGTCATACGAGCGCAGTACAATTGCTGTCCGGGGACGCCCGTCCGCTCGTGTGTCGAAGCACTTGTCCAACGATTTGCGCCAATTCAGATGTAGACGGTCGGGAGAGGGTTGAGTTTCATTGTCGTCGGACGATGGGAATTCGATGGCTTCGTAGGGCGCGTAGCGTTGATTGCGAGTCATACACGCGTCGGAGAGGTTCGTGAGCTTGGAGGAACCGATCAAGTGCGGAGGGTGTTCCGTTGGATTCACAATGTATTTCAGATTCGGGAAGACTGTACCATGGGGACCCGGACAGCGCGTGATGGTGGACTCGTACGGGTTCAGAGAAGATACCTCGATCGCTGGATGAATGGTGTTGGGAGGAAAGTTGTTGAACATGACATACTTGTCGAGCCAGAAAGCAGGCGGCGCGACGTGTGCTCCAAGGTGATGAAGACGATAGGTATGAGTGACGAGAATGAAGGCGGTCAAGAACCCCCCGAGGCAGGCAATGCTCCATCGCAAGGATCGACGAGGTGTGCGCCTGATCCCCAATGGTAAGGGTGTGTATCTCTGCGCATCCTTCTCGCGAAAGACATCCTGAATCGCTTGCCTAAGCTTGATCCTGAAGACTACCATCTTTCTCTCATCCCGTTAACTGTCAACCATCGCGACAGCTGTCAGGCGCCGGCCTTTTGACATCGATTCTATATGGCTAAGCCTGAGGTCGATCATGAAGCGGGGTAGATCGAGGAAATCTTAAGGTCCATTTAGCCGGCGAGCGCATCGGTAATCCAGGATTGCGCATCTATTGTGTAAGTGGCATTTGTGGGATCGAGATTCGGATTCGGGCTTTGATCGTCGCCTGCGGGGCCCCGGGATGGGCGCCCGGTAGCCGTAAGAGCAACTGCCGTTCGTCGGCGGAGTACTTTCGGCAACATTTGATGAAGGCTGACAACACTGAGATTCCATATGAAGCAGACTGGTAACATGTGTAGCGAGTGTCATACCAGAATAAGAATCGTATATTGCTGATGACTATGGATGGGAGTAAGTCCCATATTTATATATAGTTAATACAAAGGAGTGCGACACACTCTACATTACCCCCCCCCTCCCATCCGTTCTTGGACTAAGTCAAGTGACTGCGGAGAATGTGAAACTCACCATCACCGGCGTCCGAACTGGCGGACAACAATCCAGTTTGTTCGAGTCAGTTCGGATTGCACGTTTGCTCATCCGTACTGTCCGCTCCGCCCTCGCTTATCGGCACTTGTCCGCTCTGCTCGCTCAATGATGACCGCCAAGAAGCTCCACAACCGCGAGATCAACCGACCCTATTACCGGAAGTACGAGAGGGTCAGCCTGACCACTTGCGACAACTGGCGGACGCCGATGACGGGTTACCCTGTGTTGTTTATGCCCATGTGCCAGGCGTTGATCCGACAACTAAGAAGTGTCACCCCCATGCTGGAGCTTGTATGTGGTGTAACCATAATGGTGATGCCTGCCAGGTTGCGAAGGAAGGGGATGGTGTGTCCAGTATTATTCCGGATTGGTTGGTGAACTTGTCCGCTTCCGATCTTGTGCTAATATTGCTAGACAGGGACAATCCCGTTTATCGAAAGTACCTCTCTCCTCCGGCCGCCAGGGCTCCGACCACCCGCCAGACCGCTGGTAGCAAGCGCAGGAAGACCTCTGAACTGTCCGCTTGGGTGGACTTGACCAGGCCTGTGTGTCATGAACCGAAGAACTACTTCGAGTTTCGGATCAACCCGAGACTCGATTTGTCTCGGGTCCTATCAAGGCTCATCTTATCTTCACTCCCCTCGTTCAAGATCTTGTTCTCGGCGCCACCGAGTTAACTAAATGTGGAACGCCACCGAGCAAGGGTCTAGACCCTCGTCCGGAAAACCGTATATAAGGAAAGGCCCTATGCCTTCCTTTAGATCTTCACTGGTTAACTCAATAAATTCGTCTCTCTATTCAAATAAGTAATTCGGTCATCTCGTCACACCTCGTCTAACTCGTCAGATCTCGTCCCGAAGTACTTGCAGTATCTCGTCTTGTCTCGCCCTCATTACACTTTAACCAGTCAAAACAACACTGCACCTACTTCCCTCCAGTTTACCTTCGCCATGTCTGCTCAATTTACGGAAAGCAACCTCCTCCAAATCATTCAATCTGTACAATCTCGGATCTCTCAACTGGAGTCGCAACCCGAGAGCCCACCAACTCCAACCACTTTACAGTTGCCAAAGATCAATCAGCCTGATACCTTCCATGGTAGCAGAGATCGACTTCGATCATTCCTCTCGCAATGTCACCTCTACTACCGTATGTATCCCCATCAGTTCTTGAGCGACTCGACCAAGGTCTATTTCGCGGCTTCATATCTTCGAGATTTAGGGTTAGGGTTAGGGTTAGGGTTAGGGTTAGGGTTAGGGTTAGGGTTAGGGTTAGGGTTAGGGTTAGGGTTAGGGTTAGGGTTAGGGTTAGGGTTAGGGTTAGGGTTAGGGTTAGGGTTAGGGTTAGGGTTAGGG